CATGTCTCCAATGATGACACCCCAGTTTGTTCAAGAGGTTCAAATCCACCCTGCCACCGCAGCCAGATTTAAAACTCTATTTATGGCCATTTTTCAGCCATTTTGTTCAAACTGTAATGAAATTTCACATTTTTTAGTTTCAACACATATGTTCCATTTTCTTCAACTTTTTTCATTATCCCCCGCCGCGCGAAAGCGCGAAGCGGGGGATATAGTATTCACGACTGTCCGTCCGTCCGTCCGTCCGTCCGTCCGTCCGTCCGTCCGTACGTCCCACCTGTTTGTTGCCGCGATATCTCAAGAACTAAACACTGGATTGTCTTCATATTTGGAACTATGGTGTATATACAGACTCCGCAGACACCAGTCGGTTTTGGTGACCTTGATCCCATTTTCAAGGTCACAGCAGACAAATCTGCTTTTAGAGTTGGAAAACGGTGTTGCCGCGATATCTCAAGAACTAAACACTGGATTGTCTTCATATTTGGAACTATGGTGTATATACAGACTCCGCAGACACCAGTCGGTTTTGGTGACCTTGATCCCATTTTCAAGGTCACAGCAGACAAATCTGCTTTTAGAGTTGGAAAACGGTGTTGCCACGATATCTCAAGAACTAAACACTGGATTGTCTTCATATTTGGAACTATGATGTATATACAGACTCCGCAGACACCAGTCGGTTTTGGTGACCTTGACCCCATTTTCAAGGTCACAGCAGGCAAATCTGCTTTTGGAGTTGGAAAATGGTGTTGCCACAATATCTCAAGAACTAAACACTGGATTGTCTTCATATTTGGAACTATGGTGTATATACAGACACCGCAGACACCAGTCGGTTTTGGTGACCTTGATCCCATTTTCAAGGTCACAGCAGGCAAATCTGCTTTTAGAGTTGGAAAACGGTGTTGCCGCGATATCTCAAGAACTAAACCTCTCGATTGTCTTCATATTTGGAACTATGGTGTATATACAGACACCGCAGACACCAGTCGGTTTTGGTGACCTTGACCCCATTTTCAAGGTCACAGCAGGCAAATCTGCTTTTGGAGTTAGAAAACGGTGTTGCCGCGATATCTCAAGAACTAATTGCTGGATTGTCTTCATATTTGGAACTATAGTGTATATACAGACACCGCAGACACCAGTCGGTTTTGGTGACCTTGACCCCATTTTCAAGGTCACAGCAGGCAAATCTGTTTTTGGAGTTGGAAAACGGTGTTGCCACAATATCTCAAGAACTAATCGCTGGATTGTCTTCATATTTGGTACTATGGTGTATATGGCGGGGGATATTTCGTCACTCTGTGACAAATACTTGTTTTGACTTTGTTTCCACAATGCTTTATTCTCTCAAAAGGCATATTTGGCTGAAGGAGCTGAACTGTTATGTGTATGTTTCTCCCTATCAAGAAAACATATTTTGTTAAAATCATTAGATTTTAGTGTTAGTTTTTAGTCCTCGGTATTTATGCAGACATCTTTATATCAGTGCTGACAGCAACATTTTGTAAGTGTCTGTTCTTTTGACATTTGACTCTGTTGACTGCATATGCAGGTGAGCTTCAGTGCATGACAATATTTTATTTGTATGGGAAACAATGGGAAATCAATACAAGTGTCAAGCTGTACATGGTCTGCTTAAGTCCATTGACATGTTAGTGCCTTTCTCGCTACTCTGGAGCCATTCATGCTTACAATGCCCCTACAATCACAGGACTGGGTACACCATATCCCTATTCAACCTAGGTTGCTATGTTCCAAGCAGGGAGGTACTCAGTAGGGCTTGGACGAGTCCAAATTTACTTCCCGGGTACCTGACCCCCTATTACCCGACCCTACCCGGGTACCCACTGCAATTCTTAAGAGTGGGAAACAAAATGTCTGATTGGTAATTGTTTTACTGAAGCCCTGGCGAAAACTTTTTAGATCATGCGTTCACTGAAGTTGACTGAAGATTTATCTTTACTCAAACAAATCATTTATTCCGTATAAATGGCCATGAGGCCAACAATACAACATGTGTAAAATATGGGACAATATAATGAAACGGCGCCACTAACATGATTCTATTTTCTTTCACAATACATTCATATTATTTCTTATTTTAAAGACTTTTACTCAAACATATACAAGTTAAAAGGAATGTGTGCATCGTCAGAAAGAAATGCGAACATTAGCGACTTGTAGTGTAACCACTGAGCTATAGTGAGTTTTTGTCATTTAACAATATATCACGTGACAAACCACGGGTCTGGGTAGTCCTGTGGGTACGCGGGTCCTACTCAGGACCCACCCGACCCGAGTACCCGAGTTACCCGTCCCAGCCCTAGTACCCAGCTGTATAAAGTTGAATGTCAAGGTCTGTTTGTCTCTTTGTTTGTCTGTTTGTTGTTTAACGTCCCCCTCAGCAATATTCCAGCTATATAACGGCTGTCTATAAATAATGGATACTGGATCAGACAATCCAGTGATAGACATGAGCATCAATCTACACATCTGGGATACGATGACATGCATTAATCAAGTCAGCGAACCTGACCACCTGATCCCGTTAGTCACCTCTAATGACAAGCATAGTCTCCTTTTACGGCACGCATGACCTGTTCTAACCCGGATCTTCACGGGTGCATGCTGGTGTATGTCAAGGATTACCTACCCTTGCTTCTGCAGGAACCTGTAGACCTCAGTGTGATGAATGTGAACCTGAGCATGATTATGTTTCTTATTTATCATTTTGTTGTAAGCAAGTTCTGAATTTCTCATTATTTTGGTTCACACATCAGTCTCTGTGATTGTTCGGAGGTAGGAGTGTGTCCACAAAACCTATTTCTGGATTTAGCATGTCCTCAATCCTGTTGTAAGTTTGTATGGAATAAAGAATGTGTTTGTATGAAGAGGAAGTGGGAGGTCTGAGATATAGGCTTGTTATGCTCCCAGGGGACGAGGAGCGTCACACACCACAGGGCTCATTCATTATGGGGACAGGATCTGATATTCAAGAAGAATATGCACTGTAATTCAATTATTCGCATCGTCATGGTAACCTGATAACACAACAATACGACCCCATTTATATATGGGATGGTTACCATGATTCTTTGAAATGTTTTAATCACACTATTGTGTTGATGTCTTTTGCTCAAAAATATGCCTTATGTTAATGCGAGACAAATTAAATTGATGATTTGTGAAGGGAGATTATGGAATTTCAAACATTGGTGTGGGTCATTGTAAGTTTGGTGCATGGAGAGATATACATAATGATTGTGAGAACAACAGAACAGTGTCTGTTTTGTTTCCTGTGAGGCATAAGAACGTTTCTTAGATGTAATTTCTGGATCTATTTCAATGGAAAACATAGCCTTGTGTACGAAACTTATAAATCCTCAATTATTCTGTGTATTAGGGGCAGTGGAATAGCTTAGTGGGTAAAGCGTTAGCTTGTATGCTGAAGGTCCTAGTTCAACTCCCCAAATTCATACAGTGTGTGAGGCTCACCATGATGTTACTGGAATGTTGTTAAAAGCAGCAGCAGCAGTGAGTTATACATCCTTTCTGTTATGAGACCGCCTCCATGGTCTAGTGGTAGAGCAACTGCCTGGAGAGCGGAAGGTCGGGGGTTCAATCCCCAGCCATGTTATACCAAAAGATGTTAAAAGATGGCACTTGTTGTTACCCTGTCTTTTAACTCGGCATTAAGACTGGGTGGCTCGGAGTCAGTATACTGTGTCTAGGGTATTATTGTTAAACTGGGGCATGGTGTCTCAGTGGTCTAGCACTATAAAATTGGCGTTAGTCCAGACTAGTACTAGCAGCCACACACACATACATGTGTATGTATGTCACTATATAAGTGAAATATTCTTGAACATGACGTTAAACCCGATTTCACCTCACCTTTCTGAATTTTGATACCTGGACCCATCCCCCCATTGCTTTGTTTTGGAAGTCACATCACTCTCTCCATCTCCCATATAGGTAGAAAAGGTCTTCAGCAACCCAGGCGACTAACAAGATCAGGTGGTCAGGCTCACTGACTTGGTTGATGCACGTCATCAGTCCCAATTGCGAGGATCGATGCTCATGATGTCAATCACTGGATTGTCTGGTCCAGACTCGATTATTTACAGACCGCCGTCATATAGCTGGAATATTGCTGAGTGCGGCGTTAAACGACAAACCAACCAACCAACCAACCAACCAACCATATCAGTACTGTGACACAGAATTTCTGTCACTACTGAACATGCTGAAGGCTATTTGATTGGATGACATTTTTTAGCATCATGCTATTTAAATTGTTATCAAATTATAGGTGTGATATAATATAATATACTACTTAAAAGAAGTTAAAGAACACCTGATTGTTTCATTTTACTTTAGTTAATCTGTCAAGCCATGTAACTGTAGTTAGATGAAAGAATCAGGTGTTCCTTTACTTTTTTTGAGTAGTATTTTTCTACTTCTGTGAGAATTGAATTTGTTGGATTATTAAGTCTAAAGAATGGATGAGATTATTATTGATATTGTGGATACACTTGTTATGTTTTGTATCAAGGAATTGATATTTGTATGATCAGATTTAGATACTGGTTTATATATGAATATATCAAAGAAAGTATATATGTGCAATTATTACTTTGCACATGTTGTAATTATTCTACTGTCGACGATTTATGACCTTGGGGTCACTAGCAATGGTTTTGATTATAGGGTATAGGATAAAACAACATTTTAAATCATATTGGGGGTGCTACATCATCTTAGGCACCACAATTTGCTGTGAAGAGTTTTTCTAGGTTTGTCCGCACCATGGCCATCCTTGATGGTTACACCAAAGTCATTAACGTATGAGCCCTACCCGGTATTTCACACAGGCTTTCCTTCCACATGATATAACTAAAGTACTGTTCACAGCAGCATTGAACCCTACTCACTCACTCACTCACTCACTCACTCACTCACTCACTCTCACTGAGATCATCATTACATTTCAGATTGAGGGCTCCAGTAAAGCTTGCTCATCCTCTCTCGAAAACGGAGACATTTTGTTGAGTATTAACGGAATATCATGTTCTACATCGGAGGAAGCAAGGCAGTTGATAGAGAGCGCCTTCCGCACTCTCACTCTCAGAGTCTGGAGGTAAGTTCTGTTACCATGGTAGCCACAGATGGAACCATATCTGTTAAATAACACTTTTGATATGGAATGTTCGTACTAATACTCATTATATCATAAGATGGAACAGCTTTTTGAAAACACACTAATATAGGCTTAAGAAAATAAAAGAATTGGTTCTCAGGCAATGACTTTTGAAAATATAGTGTCAGTCAGTTATGCCTGTCGTTCCTCCCGAAGCATAGGCCGCCGACAACAGTCCGCCAGAGTCCTCGGTCCTGTGCTGCCCTCTCTAGTTGTTTCCAGGTGTGTCCCATCTTCTTGCTCTTTGCCTCGAGGTCCCATCACCAGGTGTTTCTTGCCCGTCCTCTTTTTCGTTTTCCCTGGGGGTTCCATGACAGCGCCTGTCTGGTGATGTTACTGACTGGCTTCCTCAGGGGGTGCCCAATCCATCCCCATTTTGAAGAAGAAAATATAGTGTGGGCAGTGTTTTTTTTTTATTGTTCAAACTAGTAAGTAACCAAATAAACAGTTGTGTACCATCAACCTGGGAATGGGCCTCCCTACATAAACAAGCATACAAACTCCTATTGCCGCCATACAAGCAGTGTGCATCTAAATGGAAGTAATTGCATGCTATATTGGATCACATTGTTTTTATGTGTTAGGATTTGTATTTTTTTAAGATAATCGAAATAGAAATGAAACGTGCGGCAGACTTTATGATGATGCGGGCGGTGCCTGAGAACCAAGACTTATTATTTTTTAGCCATAGTTTTATGGGGCTGTGGGATAGCCTAGTGGTTAATGCATTTGCTCATGTCACCTAAGGCCTGGGTTTGAATCCTGACATGGGTACAATGTATGAAACTCATTCTCAGTGTCCCTGCCATTGTGTAGCTCGAATACACAGCAGTAGTCTACCCACAGCAGTAGTATACCCCCACCCTTCTTGTTTTCAGATCTCATCAATGCTCATGTGATATCAAATGCTGTATGTTCTTGTGTATTTTGCCCACATGAGTATAATGCACACACTCCATTCTTGGGTACAAGTTTTGAGGAAACTTGCTATTTTGGATTTTGTGTGCAGTAACAAAGTACATCGTTTTGCTTCAGGTGAACAAACAGCAGCTAATAATCTTGTCAATAAAAATGTGAAAATTGTGATCATGGTGATCACTAGGCATGATGATTTACAATTTTGTTTCTATTTTTTATATGCTAGGCAATGCTTGATATGCAGACATTAAGATTACTGTGTGTAAGTGTCTTGTCAAATAGGCCAGAAACAGCAATAAGCTGTACACATTTCTTAGCCCACTTTAGTGGTTACAGGACCCGTGAAGATCCGGGGTAGAATAGGTCTTCACCAACCATGCTTGCCGTAAAAGGTGACTCTGCTTGTCGCAAAAGGCGATTCTGCTTGCCGTAAAAGGCGACTAACGGGATCGGGTGGTCAGGCTTGCTGACTTGGTTGATGCATGTCATCGATCCCAGTTGTGTGGATCGATGCTCATGCTATCAATCACTGGATTGTCTGGTCCAGACTCAATTACTTACAATCCGCCATCATATAGCTGGGATATTGCTGAGTGCTGCGTTAAACAACAAACCAACCAACCAAGTGGTTACAGATTCAGATAAAAAATATCCAGTATCCCGAAGAAAAGGGGCAGTGGGGTAACCTCGTGGTTAAAGCATTCGCTCGTCATGCTGATGACCGCGGTTCGATTCCCCACATGGGTACTATGTGTGAAGCCCATTTTCTGGTGTTCCCTGTCGAGATATTGCTGAAATATGCTAAAAACGGTGTAAAACCATACTAATCCACGAAATGAAAATATAAACATGCGCACTATACACAAGAAAATACAGTAGGGTGTCAGTCACAAGAATGTTCTACACAGTTAGATGGTTAATAGCCAGCTGCTGCATACAGGATATACAATGCCACAGACACATCAGTTTTCACTGTGTTAACCTGTTCTCAAATTGCTCTGAAATCACAATCTATATGCATGGAAAAATACCTCACTACTCCAAATCAGTGATACTGAATTGAGGTCACTGTTACAGTTTCAGCAGGATTTCCCCATTTAAATTCTTGAAATACTTTGAAAAGTATGTTTTTGTCATGAACAATCCCTGACATCCACTCATGATATTTTGATTAATTCTTGTTGCTAGGATCTGAGGCCCAGTCGAAGGTAAGCCTGCCAAGGCTGTTTGTGTTTATTTGATCGGAAGTGGGTTGCAGTTTTGTTTATTGTTGTTCAATGTGGGAAAGCTATGAAGTTGTTTTTAATAATCTTTTTGAAAGACGTTTTTGACGTTATGTGATGTATGAAATTATTTTTTTTATCATAAGTAGACGTTGATTTCATTGCATAATGTTCCTACATTGACATTTTACATAATCTTTTCTTCATGTTCTTGTTGAAGTTTCTTGGGTTTATTTATGGCATTTGGTGGTGAATTGATTTTAGATTTAGATATTCATTTATTCACTTATTTTGTCATCAGTTTTTTATTTGAATCTCATTTCATTTCACGCATGTCATCTTGTAGATGGGGAAAGGTAACGTTTTAGAATTGTTTGTCTTTTAACTTGAGATGTTTTGTGGACAAACTGGTTCATTATTGGTACAAGCTCTCATAAAATCACCACACTGGATTGTCCGTAGACGGAGTAAGGAAGTCGGGGAAGCTCCCATAAAATATCCTGCTGTTGCCTGTCAGCAGGAGGAAACACAGTGAGAGGTGGAGTGAACATCGTCCTTTTTGAACATACTAATTGTTTATACGTCTTGAATTGTTATGGATGATCGGTACAGAGAGTACAACATGACAAGCAACTCATTGGGTACCGGGTATGTGTTTTCAATGAGAAAAACACAACTACCAAGAGTGCTTCATGGATTACTTGTGTTCACCCATGAGTTGTTTGTTTACTTGTGATTGGTGATCAGAACTTCCCCATCCTTTTCCAAGAAACTGTATCTGTGCTTGGTTGAAGACATGAGCATAGCTGTTCTGAAGAGAAGGCTGTGTGGCTATGGTTGTGTCAGGTTTTCTTTCTAATATTACCACTTTCACCATTTGTTCACCACCCTCCTCCTCCTCCTCCTCCTCCTCCTCCTCCTCCTCCTCCTCCTCATCATCACTACCACCACCATCATCATTATTATAACCACCTTCACCATTTGTTCACCATCATCATCATCATCATCATCATCGTTATTGTCAGTGCATTAACCCTTGTATAGACTCTGAAATGATAAGGTTCTTTCGTGTGTTGACGTGTCATTAGTTTGGAGATAACAAGTAAACCCGATTGGAAGTACTGTGTATTTGTCAGTGTTTGGTAAGTGGAGGTAGTATTGTCCTGATTAAAGATTGCCTGTGTACGCAGTGTCAGAGCGAGCGGAGATGTGTAGCCGACACACACGTATGTTTGACACTGAGACATTTCCTGGTCAAACAAGCAACTCCATTGTTTCATCAAACACATGTATGACCAACTACCGTACTTTCTTCTGTATAATACACACTTGAATATAACATGACTATTGTAGGGTAGCTTTTGGAGAAATAGAGAATCTCACCTGAGTGTCTTTTGATATCAAATATATCAACACAAGTTGATAAAAGTGGAAAAATTCCGAGGCTTGCCGAGGATTTTTGCCACTTTTATCAACGAGTGTTGATATATTTGATATCAAAAGACACGAGGGTGAGATTTTATTAATCATCCAACATCATTCATCCAACTTTTTCAATTTGTAGACAATAATTAGCAGTGTCTTCAGTGTAAATAGCACTGCTAACAGCTTCAGTAACAGAGCCATTAGTGATGTCATTTGATTGTGACGTCATGGTAACCAGTAATGTCACAATGGTCTGCAAAGCATTGTGATGTAATTTCATTGCAGCGATATCTACAGTGTAGATATCGCTTGATCTCATCCAAGCATATCTCCTGTGGGAGCCAGTTTTGGATGATAAAATACTATCTTGTACAATATCAGCTGACTGCTTGATTCTAGAAGGTGGTGACAAGGGAAGAAAACATAGAACTTTATTGCTTGATAACGGTGTATGAATATAATCGAAACGTCACTTTATGCAATAAACCAGAAGTTGTCATCCATAAAGTTGTACATTTTCCTGATATCAGCTGACTTTTTCACGCACAATTTAACCAAAATTTATATACACAGTGTTAAAAAATATGTTGAATAAAATTAAATATTTAAGTCAGAAATGCAGTGAACGCTCTAATACTAAATATTGTCATATAGGCGCAAACTGGCACATTTCACAACAGATACAGGGGCAGTGGGGTAGCCTAGTGGTTAAAGCCTTCGCTCATCATGCTGAAGACCCAGGTTCGATTCCCCACTTGGGTACAATGTGTGAAGCCCATTTCTGGTGTCCGCTGCCGTGATATTGCTGGAATATTGCTAAAAGAGGCATTAAACAACCAGACTCACAAACTACTCACTCACAACAGATATGTTGACATGCTGTGATGATCTGGGTTAGAAATGGTCTTCAGAAACCCATGCTTGTCATAAGAGGCGACTTATGGGATCGGGTTATCATTTTCGCTGACTTAGTTGATGCATCGTGTCCCAATTGCGTGGATCGATGCTCATGATGTAAATCACTGGATTGTCTTGTCCAGACTTGATTATTTACTGATAACCGTCATTTAGCTGGAATATTGCCATGTATGGCGTAAATCAACAATCAAATCATAAATCTAGAAAAACTGCTGACTATTGCCTAAAATTCGCAAACTCATGTTAACTCTAAACACTCCTTCTGACTTTGAGACAGGACTGTAGTGCCCTGAGAGCCCACCTGCTACAGGGACCTGGGCTTGTCTTGAATGTCACAAAATGTCACAATCCCCCTCGACTGCACAACCCCCCTCGACTGCACAACCCCCCTCTACTGCACAACCCCCCTCTACTGCACAACCCCCCGTACACACGACAGGTCTGATGTTGGACAAC